AAATCCATATGACAACCCCACTGACAACACTGCACATTGTGAGCACTCACAAACCATAGAAACATGAGAAATACACACCAAATTGTCATTGTAAACACAAAGCCATAATCTACAATGAAAGGTTGTGTGTTCATGTGAAAAAGAGGTGCACAATGTGTGTCTGTGTGACTGGGGCAATAGAGAAAAGTGTTTTTATTATGATTAATATTATTATCACTATCAGTACAGTGGTTATATTTTAAGTCGATTCCCAGAAACAGTACAGGCCACTGACATAAATGTATTCAAAGATTGCTACTAATCTGACTACTTGAAACAAAAGGGTTTCAGACACCTGGAGGAATTATGGTATAATTTACTGTACTGTAATGCACAACCAAATCCCAACAACATTACTGAGAATGATATTAATGAATGATATTAATGGGGGGAGCCATCTTTATAGTACATCAGTGAATGAAATTTCTTTGGCATTCAGCCTTTAACGGTTGACCTGCAGTTTGAAGGTTTTATTAATTCTATGTAAATTCTAAGGATGTAAAAGAAAGTCAAAATAAACAATGACCAGATTTAAACAAAAACCAGATTTATCCGGTCTGCTCAGTGGCTGGACTGTGGGAAGGATGCTATAGAGTACTATAGAGTGTTCAGTGAATGCATGTTAATTATCATTAAGGATAGCATATCCACCCTCTTAAAGGTCACTTGAATGTGTAAATCGTTTTCTCCTTATGACGGAAAAAGCAACAAAAAAACTAAACACTATATTCGTTGCTCTGAAAAGACCCCCTGGCTTGAATGGTGAAGAATGATATCCAGTGACAACAAGTGACCAAATAATCTTGAAATACATCAAGGGCTAATGCACAAGATTTTCTGTTTCCTTCCTCAGAGTACTTCGTCATTGGAATTAATGTCATTATTAGGCCACTATAAAAAGCAGTATAATTGGATTTATTTCCAGCATATGGCTTTAGGTAACTAACACGACTTTTTGGCAGAGTCGGATTTGTCTGATTCCTTGGGAGTGAAGAGCAAAAAACGCTGATGGTTGAACTCGAACGATGGTCAGTTTGAAGCTCTAGCACCACTATAAATGAACAGCTAATAATTATTGTACGTCAAACTGAATTAACAGCTGCAATAACAACATGTTGAAGCACTCACAGACTATCATCAAACAGAATCGCAAAACAGGTCAATAGTGGATTGACACCTTCTAGAAGCCACAACAAAAAAAATCACTATAGCGTCATGAAATGCAAGAGGAGAATCGGCTTGGCAGCAATTCACAGCACATTTCTGGTTAATCAGAACATCATTAACAGACTTCGAGACAATCCTTAAAAAGATTACCTTACAAAGATGCTTGGCACAAACTAAAACGAGTACCTGTAAAAGATGAAATCAAATACAAACGTGACTTCAAAGATGAAAGTTACAGAGAGCCCACACTGACAGGTGGAAAATTATTTGATTGATTAAATGTTGATACCTTCTGTAGGTCAGATGTATTAGAGCTGAAGCTGGTGCCAGAATGGTAGAATCCACAGCACACCACAGTGGTATCAGATGGAAAAATGTTCCATAAAAAAAAATGCTACAATCATTGAGGAAGAAAATAACAATATTGCCTTGATGTGCATCACGCATTAACATATTACCCATGAGACGATAGTGATAATGAAGATCATGACTACAAAATAATTCATCATAGTTCGGAAAAAAAAGAGTTTGAGATTGCCTCAGAATATTTTCAGCTAGTGTGAATCCTTTGGTAATGACTATAATTTGAAGTAGATACCTTATATTAATCCATTTGTCTTTCTCTAATGGATCATCTCACAGTATCTCTGTGCAGGTGACCCTAAGGCAACACAGTAACAACTCTTATTGTGAATTACAGTTCGGTAATGAACACAGTGATTATGTAGGGTGTCTTACTGCAGTGTGCTGAAGATTGTTTGGTAACACTTTACAACAAATTTCAATTCACTAACATGAGAGAATGCATGGCATATCATGAACTAACAGTAAGGTAAGTTAATGTGTTATGAATGAACATCAGTATATTTATAAACTGACATTACAAATGCTGTAAACATGTTATTCATTGTTACTTCAAAGATACCTAATGCATTAACTAATGTTAACCATTTGTAAAGTGTTACTGATTTTTTTGATTGAGTATTACTCTGACACTTCTTTTTATTACTAAACGGATATTTCACTCAAAAAAAAAAAAAAATATATATATAATCTGTCCTCACAGTATCTCTGTGCAGGTGACCCTAAGGCAACACAGTAACAACTCTTATTGTGAATTACAGTTCGGTAATGAACACAGTGATTATGTAGGGTGTCTTACTGCAGTGTGCTGAAGATTGTTTGGTAACACTTTACAACAAATTTCAATTCACTAACATGAGAGAATGCATGGCATATCATGAACTAACAGTAAGGTAAGTTAATGTGTTATGAATGAACATCAGTATATTTATAAACTGACATTACAAATGCTGTAAACATGTTATTCATTGTTACTTCAAAGATACCTAATGCATTAACTAATGTTAACCATTTGTAAAGTGTTACTGATTTTTTTGATTGAGTATTACTCTGACACTTCTTTTTATTACTAAACGGATATTTCACTCAAAAAAAAAAAAAAAATATATATAATCTGTCAGTATCTACTCACCCTCATGTCGTTCCTAACTTGTATGATTTTTCTTATTTTAAAAAGCACTACCGACTTTTATTGTACGAAAAAGTGCAGCCTTGACATTCTTCCATTCCTTTTGTATTCCATAAGTGGGAAATACAATGTACAGTATATGAGTGTGAATAAAGGGTGACAGAGTTTTACTTTTTGAATGAACTATCCTATACAGCAGGGGTCGGCAACCTTTTCGGCATGACATGCCATTTTTAATTTTTCTGGTTAACCACTGTGCCAATACCACCCCCATCCCTCCCCCCTTTTAATGCATTCTGTATTTATACAGTACATACATTTTTTTAAATGATACATTACAAAAAAAAATATTTGATTTTCATGCAAATAGTTTTTAAAGATTTTTTAATAAATTGTTTTAAACTTCTCAAAAGTTTCTTGAATAACAGATATACAGTGTGACCTTACTGAACACCAGTGTGTGTGTGTGACAAAGCCAATGCATTAAAACAGTTTAATCACTGTTCTATATTAATGCGCGCACACACACACCACTCACACACAGAGATCTGAGATCGCGCTGTGCAAAAAGTAACATTCAAGCTCATAAACTTCTTGTCAGCGCTGCCACGTGACTTTTATTAATCGATACTGAATCGCTACATTATATTTCTCAGCAAGGAGGGGGGTAAAATTGCTGTTTTTGAAGTAACTAAACTCAGTTTCATTGTTTGTAGAGAGACGCAGACGCAGAAAATTCACACATCTCTCTCTCTCTCTCAAAATGGCCATATTTGAGAAAAAAAATGTGAGAAAATTTGAGTAGTTTGCATCACTGGGTATAGTCGGTCATTTAACATTTCTATCGTAAAACAGTTGACTAATATTAATGATTTGCAGCTTCATCTTACCTAGCTCTCCATCAACGTTAAACTGAGGCTTCGCGCTCTGCTTCTGTGAACAGTAAACCCCGGTTACTTTGATTTGATTGACCATCTCAGTCATTTTGACATTGACGAGCGCTGTTAGACCACTGAGGCTTTGATCTGAAGCGCCTAGTAGCGCAGTAGTGCAGTGGTCGCGCGCGCATCCGTAGACTAGCGCAAGTTAATTCTCACACTTTAATAGTATTTATAGCTCCTAACAGGCTGTGTGACTATGAGAAGTTATTACCTCAAAATGTACGTCAGTATAGATGGCTCATGCAGTTTTCCCTATTGCTGGCGTGCCAGCAATTATCCATCTGCGTGCCACTGTTGGCACGTGTGCCATTGGTTGCCGACCCCTGCTATACAGTATATGCAGTGATACCCAGCCTGCACGTGTTAAATGTATTGCCATATCATAGGATGGGGCTGTAGATACCAGTCCAAAATCATACAATTTGTAAATAATACAAATGTTTTCATGATTATCCAGAGATACTCACTTTCCTTTGGTGTAGACATGGACAGCAACTATTGTGCCAACTCAGGCTGGACTGAAGGGTGAGAATCTATGGAACTTAAGATCCATTCTATACATGCACTTTTTAACTAATAGATTGATGCTGATAGATTTTAGACATTTCAAAATAAAATAGTATCTACTATATAATATATATTGATTTAATCTTTAATTAACCTCTCTTTTGTGTGGAAAATAATATGCAATACAAATCTAGAAATATAGGCAAACATTTGCAGTCTACATACTAATTAATATTCCAAATATTTCAAAATGGATCTACTCTCTTGTCATTATTGTGCTGATTCAGGGTAGAGCTTAATACTATCATATAACATGCAGTGACAATGGGTTTAGATGTGTTGAATGTATCAAGATAATGAATGACTATAACTAAAGCTCGAATAAACTCCAAAAGAAAACCATCAGCAGTCAGTCAAGACCAGATGATGCTCCTGCCATCATTTCTAAGATTTCTCTGCCTGATGGCTTCTCCTCCAGTGGAAGGCACTATAGATGGCTCTGAAAGCTACGCTTACATGAAAGCCGCTCTGGTTTTGACTGATAGCTAGATGACAGGTTTCCATTCAAGTGAATGATCTACCAGGATTGTAAGAGACACCAAAAGTCAGAGGGTCACATGCTATGCAAGGCATTTTTTTTCTCACGCTGTCTTGGCCTAAGGATTTTTCACACCTTGACTTCTTACAGCTGCTCTCTCACCCATAAAAAGACGAGATTGTGTGAGAGGAACGTTGTGAATCTTTTTTTCCCTGGTACCTGAAGAACAAAAGGCAAAGGTCTCTGTCAGAGAATTGCAACCACTTAAAAGAGCTTGTAGCAATATCCTTCTTGACCATATAAAAACAGCCTGGTTTTAAGGGTTTTGATGTATCTGCTGTAGCTTTCGGTTCCTGTAGCATTGTCTCATTTTTCAATTTCATCTTCTACTGGAGAAGTCCCAGCTCAACTCTGATAACCGGTATCCACTTTTATTTTTACCCTACCTTGAAAAGTCCTGGTTCAGTCTGTTCTTCGTGTCTGCTCTGACAGAACCAAAAGTCAAGTTCTTTGTGTCGTGAGGTGTGTGGGACCGCTAAAGATACAAGTAGCCTACCCAGTAGACAACATTGAACAATAGGAAAGAGGTGGGAAAGAAGACACGAGAGTATGCATCAAGTTCCAAAATGTCTATATGCACACGGCCCTTTCGCCACGCTCCATCTTTGCACTCTTCGTAGCAGCAGAAGAAACTCTGGCAGTCTTTTCCATCCAAGCACTCATAAACACAGGCATCATCAAACTCCTGCCAGTAAATGGAGTTGTTGAGCGTGATAATTGTGGGAGGAGGACCCACATCCAGTACTGAGTAGTTCTGTTGGACAAAAACAACATCCTTTTAGAATTTTAAGGGCTCTTGTTTTGCAGTATGCATCCAAAAAAAAACTTATTTTGAGTGAATGGAAATCATCACTGGAGTCCTAAATTTGGATGAGTTTTGCATGTACTGTATACAAAATTTCACCCAAAAGAACAACATGTTTGGCTGAAGTGCATCTAATCTATGCCGTGAGCAAAACAAATCCTTCAGAGTGGGCTGTCAATCAAAACATAAGATCATGGTGGCTTCTAAGAGATTCCCACTCACTTGAACTAACAGCGTTCTCTCCGGTGGGCAAGTCAAGTGCAGCATCGATCTCTCATGGGCAGGTACGATGACCTTAAAATCTGAGCATGGTTGTCTAAATCCTTCCTCTAAACCCTTCTAGACCACACACCGAAAACTCTCCAGCAGTTTCCTGCCACTTATTCCCTGTTATTCATCTCATAATTGTGACATAACTAGCAAAGCATGGTAATTACAGCACTGAAAGATAATCTATGTGAGATCACCTATAGGGTAATATTTGTTTTGTGTAAAATTGCTATGGTAATTATCTGTGCTTCTCAGCAGAGATAAGATCTAATCAAAATGAGTGATCGGCGAGCGAGTGGGAAAATTTCACCTGCGGAGACTGCCACCGGAGAAACACAATGAATAAAAAGTAAGATGTGCTTGCTCAACCATAATTTAGCATCACATAACATATATAAACACATAGACAAAGACTTACAACGTCAGCCTAATGAAATCATATTTCCATACCATACCATCTGGAGAGATTGCCTATATCAAACACATGCGAAAAGGGACTTCTGTCTGCATAAACAGGATAGTAATAACACATCACTATATTGTTATGAAAGTATAACAACGATAGATTCTGCCTATCAATTCACACTGAATAGATATTTCATGTATTTGAAAGGGGAAATAACGATTTAATGATTTACCATACATGTCAATACCAGATTACTTGATTCACATTGGTCAATCATGGCCGTATGTATGTATGCATGTATACACACCACTGTTTCCAACATTCATAATAACTGTGATAATATTTCACAATATTACTGTTTGTACTGTATGTTTGATCAAAAGCAGCCTTGGTGCGCATAAGAGATATTTGCACAAGAAACATTTTTTAAATCTTATGGACTCCAAACTTTTGAACAGTACTGTGTGTGTGTGTGTGTGTGTACATATATATATATATATATATATAAAGTGTTCAAAAGTAAAAGTAAATATATAACCTTAAGACCCAGAAAAATATATTAGGAAAATGTTTTGTATTTTTTCATGTCATTACATTATTTAGAACATTGGGATTTTTTAAATGTTTTTTTGAAAATGATATTTCATTTATACAGTATGTTATGCTATGTCCCCGGTAGAGGACACCGGGACTTAATTTGAATAAATAAATAAATAAATAAAAAACATGAATGAACATGCATAGGCAAAAACAATTGATTTTTGTGACATAACTAGCAAAGCATGGTAATTACAGCACTGAAAGATAATCTATGTGAGATCACCTATAGGGTAATATTTGTTTTGTGTAAAATTGCTATGGTAATTATCTGTGCTTCTCAGCAGAGATAAGATCTAATCAAAATGAGTGATCGGCGAGCGAGTGGGAAAATTTCACCTGCGGAGACTGCCACCGGAGAAACACAATGAATAAAAAGTAAGATGTGCTTGCTCAACCATAATTTAGCATCACATAACATATATAAACACATAGACAAAGACTTACAACGTCAGCCTAATGAAATCATATTTCCATACCATACCATCTGGAGAGATTGCCTATATCAAACACATGCGAAAAGGGACTTCTGTCTGCATAAACAGGATAGTAATAACACATCACTATATTGTTATGAAAGTATAACAACGATAGATTCTGCCTATCAATTCACACTGAATAGATATTTCATGTATTTGAAAGGGGAAATAACGATTTAATGATTTACCATACATGTCAATACCAGATTACTTGATTCACATTGGTCAATCATGGCCGTATGTATGTATGCATGTATACACACCACTGTTTCCAACATTCATAATAACTGTGATAATATTTCACAATATTACTGTTTGTACTGTATGTTTGATCAAAAGCAGCCTTGGTGCGCATAAGAGATATTTGCACAAGAAACATTTTTTAAATCTTATGGACTCCAAACTTTTGAACAGTACTGTGTGTGTGTGTGTGTGTGTACATATATATATATATATATATATAAAGTGTTCAAAAGTAAAAGTAAATATATAACCTTAAGACCCAGAAAAATATATTAGGAAAATGTTTTGTATTTTTTCATGTCATTACATTATTTAGAACATTGGGATTTTTTAAATGTTTTTTTGAAAATGATATTTCATTTATACAGTATGTTATGCTATGTCCCCGGTAGAGGACACCGGGACTTAATTTGAATAAATAAATAAATAAATAAAAAACATGAATGAACATGCATAGGCAAAAACAATTGATTTTTTTTAATCACCAATACATTTTTAGGTTTCAGGATTTTTTTATACCAAACTTTGTATAAATATGATTTTCAACTGTTGTAACAGAATGATTTGATATACCATTTTTCTTTATGCAAAATGTGTGTAAAATGGCCATAAATGGGTTTTCCCATTATATACAATGTATCTATAAACTGTATCTAATTTGCATATTAATGTGTTTCTGGGGCAACATGTAATGAAAAAAAATAAAGTGTAATAATGGGAGTAACAATTGACAAGATTTTCACAATAATATATAATATTTCATAGGAATATTGAAATATATTTTCATTCCCTATTCATTTGTTGTGTCTCCCAAAATGCATAATAAACATGTTTTAGTACCGGTGTCCTCAACTGACGACATGTATGAAATCAACGTCCTGTTTCGTAACAAAAAGTCATATTTTGATTTGAGACAACATAACATTTTCCTGAGATGTTGATTTAACAGTTTAAAAAATAGATTTAAATGATAACTACAAAAAATGATCATATTTCCATAAGAGTGTTACATTTGATCACTAAATTAATGTCAGCCATTTTTGAAGAGCAAGGAGAGGAAGTGGTCATGGTGAAACATCCAAACATTTGGTATCTCTGAAAAGCCTTGAATGTGCTCTTTACAGGACATCTGTGGCATGTATAGTCTCAAAGAAATGCACTAAAATATAATGTCCTCATATGAAGACGCAGGGTCTCAGGAGGATACATTTAATAATTACTGCTAAACCCTACTATTGCTACTTTAATGTCTCTTATATTATTACACTTTCTCTTTCATTTCAAGCCAAAGCACATTGATGCTAAATTAAAAATGATTAGCTGAATGTATTAAAAATGGCCTTGGAAACTTGGCCTCAGTATTCATTTGAATATAAAGTCCTCAGTATTAATTTTAATATAAATAATGGACATGAAACCTTTGATAAGATTGCTAGAAACCCAGGAGCCCCCTGTTAGAGCAAGAAAACGAAAGCATCCCTCACATATTGTGTGAACAGGATGCATAGTTTTCTCCTAACTTGAATATGAATATGAAGAATATGGTGCTTACCGATCTTTTCGTCTTGTTGCAGGTTGGTCTGCGACTGCGAGCACTGTAGGAATAATAATTGAGTGTGGCGTACTCCATGAGAGCCGCAAAAACAAACAGGAAACAGACAGTGACGAAAAGGTCCATTGCTGTGACGTATGAGACTCTGGGTAGTGATGTCCTTGCCACCGTGCTGAGCGTTGTCATGGTTAATACTGTTGTTATTCCTGCATAACCAAAAGAGGATATTAGATGGAAAGCCTGGTAACAAGGGAAATGCCTGCTAATGAAAAAAATGAGCTAAATAATCTAAAGTGTATGCTGACATTGTTAGCATGTGTAAAATGTAGTTTGATATCTCTACTGAATACAAAACACTGTTACTTTTTGGCTCTAAGCAAATTATGGGATGCCATTGCGCTGAGCAGACCTGATTAAGTTCCATCTAAGACTCCATTGCTCTGGTTGCAGTAGGACAGGTGTAATACAATAGCTGTGTTCTAAAACCTAGGAAGCTGCCTCACTAGGGTGCCTATCTAGTGCAGTATCCTAACTGAAAAGGAACCGACTTGAAATGCTCTACATAGACAGGATTTTAAAACAGGCAATATGAGAGAAACTAATGCAATACTTTAACCACCACCATAAATCACCACTACAGCAAATTATTAATAGTATTTTTAACTGAAAGAAAAAAACAACACTATTACGTCTTTAATGTTGTTGTTTTTCTTTCAATCTGACACATGTCCAGATGCCCAGGTCATTCTCTTGTATTTAATAGGAACAGAGGCACCTGCAAATTAAAAAAATGCCACCCACACAAACACCTAGAATCTCAGAAGCGTGTAGACATTCTTAGCTCCACTCTTGCATGGTCATTTAGAGTTGCCTCAGAGAACCAGTGACTGTGCTCCTGTTTTGTAAGGGTTTCTATGGAAACAAGCAAGCTTCATCTGTTTCAGACAGAAATTTCGCACTCCATTCCTTTTTCCTTTGCCGTTGCTGGCTACGGTGATTACCTTCACCAGTTAGACTGACTTCCCCTGATACAGTGGCACTTAGTTAAATGACTGCCTGCCTGAGTCAGAAAAGCTTGTGAATGAAATATGCGTTTCAAAATGGCACTCTTTCCCGAACTGCTTGGCTCCATTTTAGCCTCATTAGTTCTCTCGTCTGTTTTTGCGATGGATAAGAATGACATAACAACTCTCTGGATGTTTAAATGACTGTAATGCTGTACTTCCTGTACTTATCAAGGCTGTTGGTTTGGTTGGTTTTTACACTAAATTTGCTCTTCCCCTACTAAATTTCCCTTTTTATCTTTTCCAACTATTCAAAAGTGATGCATTTTAAATATGAAAAAATATGCATATAAAATAACATTTCTGTGAACAGATTTCTGTTTCTAATTATTGGTGTTTTTAAACACTCTATAGAAATTAATTATTATATATTATATGCATATCTGAATAATATTCATTGAAAGAATCCTGAAAAAAGTACAGTTCCCACAAAAAAAAAGTTAAATAACAATATTTTCAATATTCATAATAAGAAATGTTATTGAGCACCAAATTAGCTAATTAGAAAGATTTTTGAAGGATGGACACGTGGAGTAATGGCTGTTGAAAAAGTTTACATTGCTATCATATCACTACTATAACATTGTGTCTTTACTGTCAGTTCTGGCCAACTGAATGCATCTTTGCTGATTATATGCATTAGATATCTTCATGACCCCAAACTTGTTGAACAGTAGTGAATTTTTATTATTATTATTTTTTAATAATAATTCTAATAATTCTAATTCTAATTATTTTCTTTTTGTTAGAATTAGAATTTTATTGAAATGGGTGTCTGTGTGGAAAATACTGATGCACACTCTCAAAAAAAATTCTATGTGGACTGACCTATAAAATTACATTAATTTCTATAACTAAATATAGTCAAGTAGATTGTCATATTAAATAATACACTCTAAAAAATGCTGGGTTGTTTCAACCCAAC